TCTCTGGGTCTCTGCATCTCTCCACCTAATGTTTGACTATGGATCTCTGGGTCTCTGCATCTCTCCACCTAATGTTTGACTATGGATCTCTGGGTCTCTGCATCTCTCCACCTAATGTTTGACTATGGATCTCTGGGTCTCTGCATCTCTCCACCTAGTGTTTGACTATGGATCTCTGGGTCTCTGCATCTCTCCACCTAATGTTTGACTATGGATCTCTGGGTCTCTGCATCTCTCCACCTAATGTTTGACTATGGATCTCTGGGTCTCTGCATCTCTCCACCTAATGTTTGACTATGGATCTCTGGGTCTCTGCATCTCTCCACCTAATGTTTGACTATGGATCTCTGGGTCTCTGCATCTCTCCACCTAATGTTTGACTATGGATCTCTGGGTCTCTGCATCTCTCCACCTAATGTTTGACTATGGATCTCTGGGTCTCTGCATCTCTCCACCTAATGTTTGACTATGGATCTCTGGGTCTCTGCATCTGTTTCTGTCAGTTGCTGGATGAAGCCTCTGATGACAATTGGCTAGGCACCAGTCTGGTCACAGGAGATGGCCAGTTCAGGCTACATATCTGCTATTGCTACATTTCTAAGCTGTGATTATCCTGGGAGTTTCCCTTGCACCAGATTTTTACCTGACCCAGAAATGCTCTTTCAGTACTCTCCTCCTCCATCCTTGCCCACAACCTGATCACTCGTGAGCTCATCCCCACCCACCCTCAGTCCACTCATGAAATCTCTTTTAGTTACCCTTCCCAGGGAGATCTGGAGCTCTTCTTGTTGCTTAGCTTTTCTGGGTCTGTGGACTGTAGCATGGTTATCCTTTACTTTACAGTTAATATCTAATTATAAGTGAGAACATATTGTGTTTGTCTTTCTGAGTCTGGATTATCTCACTCAGGATGATTTTTTTCTACTCCCACCCATTTGGTCAGGTGTTATTCTAATGGACCTGCATTATATGTGACTTGGTCTTCTTCCCTTTTGGCATTTAATATCCTTTGTTGTGTACATTTAGTGTTTTGATTATTTTTTCTGATCCTATTTAGTGTTCTGCATGCTTCTTGTACCTTGATAGGCACTTTCTTCTTTAGATTGGGGAAATTTTCATCTATGGTTTTGTCAGAAGTATTTTCTGTGTCGTTGATCTGGGTTTTTTTTCCCTCCTTCCTCTTTCTTCCTATTTATGGGTTTGGTTTTTTCATAGTGTCCCAGATTTCCTGGCTTTATTCCTGGATTTTATTTATTTATTTACTTATTTGGTTTAATGTTTTCTTTGGCTGAGTTGTTCAGCTCCTACGTGGTCTTCAATCCTGAAACTCTATCCGTGTCATGTAACCTGTTGTGAGGCTTACCTCTGAGGTTTCTGTTTGACTTCCAAAGTTTTTCATTTACAGTTTTTTTTCAGTTTGTGTTTTCTTTAGTGATTCTGTTTCTACTTTCATGTCTTGAAATGTTTTCATTATTTCATTCAACTGTTTGTTTTCATTAAGACATTTGTTCAGCCGGGCGGTGGTGGCGCACGCCTTTAATCCCAGCACTCGGGAGGCAGAGGCGGGCGGATCTCTGTGAGTTCGAGGCCAGCCTGGGCTACCAAGTGAGTTCCAGGAAAGGCGCAAAGCTACACAGAGAAACCCTGTCTCGAAAAACCAAAAAAAAAAAAAAAAAAAAAAAAGACATTTGTTCATATCCTTCTTAAGGTCCTTGAACATATTCATAACTTATATTTTAAAGTCCTTGTTCTATGCTACGCTAAATTGCATGTTTCAGGGTCTACTGCAGTAGGTTACTGGCTCCTGGAGAAGACACATTATCTTGGCTGTTCATGTTTGTGTTTTTGCTGGGAACTAGGCATGCTTGAGGTGTTTCTTTGCATAGATATCTGGTCTTGTCTTTGTTGGCTGGGTGTTTCATTCTTTGGTGCATTTGCCCACTATGGATCCTCGGCAAGTATGGTAGCAGTGAGGCCACAGTAGAGAGTGTCAGCAGTTGGAAGGAAGTCTGAGAGGGGCAGTAGTGAAAGAGCCAGGCCACTGGGGTTTGCACTAAGAGGCAGAAGGAATGGAGGTGATGTGGGAGGAGGGCTTCCTATAGCAGGCTGCACAGAGGTGATGTGAAAGGAAGGGGCTCCTACAGGCAGGAGGCATGCAGCAGGGCTAAGAGTGAGTCCGAGAGCTCAGAATGGAGGCCAGGAAGGATAGTGAAAATTGCTATCTGCATCTCAGCACAGTGTAGCCACTGGGTTTCCTAGTTACCAGCTTCTTAACTAGACCTTGTTTGATCTAGGAGAACCTGAATAGGTTGGTTGAATCTAGGCCAGAATCGGAAGACAGTAGTTTCCTTAAGGAGTTAAAAAAAAAAAAAAATCAAAAGAGTAACTTTTACCCAAAATTACATTTATATAGTCATAATTTTGGAGGGGGCATTTGCTGCTATGGTCCATGTGTAAAGGTCAGAGGACAGCTTCTTCTACCATGTGGGACTTGAGGCTTGAACTCTGGTCATCTGGCTTAGTGGCAAGCCATTTTACCTGCTGAGCCATCTCAGTGGCCCACATTTAAGATGTAGAATTGAAAAAAAAAATCATTATCATATTGTTTAATTCTTTTTTTAAATTTTATTTTATAATTTAATTTAGTTTTACATATCAGCCACAGATTCCTTTGTTCTCCCCCTCCCTCCCGCCCCCCCTCCCCTCCGCCTTCCCCCTAGCCCACCCCCCATTCCCATCTCCTTCATGGTAAAGACTCCCCTGGGGATTGAGTTCAACTTGGTATATTCAGTCCAGGCAGGGCCAGTCCCCTCCTCCCAGGCTGAGCCAAGTGTCCCTGCATAAGCCCCAGGTTCCAAACAGTCAGCACATGCACTGAGGACAGGACCCAGTCCCACTGCCTGGAGGCCTCCCAAACAGATCAAGCTGCTAATCAACTGTCTCACTTATCCAGAGGGCCTGATCCAGTTGGGGGCCCCTCAGCCATTGGTTCATAGTTCATGTGTTTCCATTCGTTTGGCTATTTGTCCCTGTGCTTTTTCCAAATTAATTCTTAAAGATGTACTAGATTGTGACAAATGGAAAAGTTTCACAGTTGTGCAAAATGGTACAAGAATACAGATGACTTTTTAGACAGATATGAACATTCAAGTGACTGTGGTGTTCACAGTTGATTAAAGGGTAGACACTGAAAGTGCGGTAGAGGCACCATGTCAGTCTGAATGGTTTTATATTTTTAAATACTATTCTTAAAATACTATTCACGGGCTGGAGAGATGGCTCAGCGGTTAAGAGCACTGACTGTTCTTCCAGAGGTCCTGAGTTCAATTCCCAGCAACCACATGATGGCTCACAACCATCTATAATGGGATCTGATGCCCTCATCTGGCCTTCAGGAATACATGCAGGCAGAACACTGTATACAAAATAAATAAATAAATCTTTTAAAAAAAAACCAAAAACCTCTTATTCTTAAAAAAAAAAAAAAAATACTATTCACAAGCTTCAAATCACCCAGGGAGGCTGAGGCAGAAGGGTGAGTATTGTTATGTTGTCCTGGGTGGCATACCAGACCTTTTCTCAGAAAGAAAATATGTATGCATGCATGCATGCACACACACACACACACTTCAAATGGTGAGAAGAGACTTTGCTACTCCAATAACAACTTGGAAATCCTTTTTGCTCTTAAGTAGTTGTCAGTATCCACACTTCATTTCTTTGAAAGCTAAGAAACTATTGAAAGTCTTGGCTTGCTATGTTTCTTCTGGTTTCAGGGATTCATTTGCGATAATACAAGAGATGAGAACTGCCCTTCCTAGGTCAGCCTACACAGAATCTTGCTGTGTCGTAAGTTTTACAGTGCCATCACAGCAGTCAGCAGGACTCTATAAATTACTACATGCCACTTTATGTATAGAGCTGAACGTTGATCTACCTGGGGTCTGTTCTTGGGGAGTTCCTTTTAAAAATGAAGCAATCCAGAAAAAATTCCTAATTGCAAAGTCTAATTTTAGAATTGCACCTTGGTGAGGCAGGGTCTAGCTTATTTCTGCCATCCTGCTGTCTCCAGCTAGCTGGCCCCTGAGCCGCTGGATGGCTGTCTCCACCTCCCATCTCTCCTTAGGAAAGGTGGGATGATTATAGATGCTGCTTTTGAATGTGGGTTTCATAGCAGGCTTTCTCCCTCTGAGCCACTAGAGAGATGAGTAATGCCATCTCACTTTGAGTTTAAAATTCACTCTTGTAATTTTTCAAAACATCTTTGAAAATATGAAAGCCTTCCTGAACTATAATATGAATTTTGATACAAAGTAATATTTCTTATTATTCAGTAATCCATGCCAGTGGTTGTTTGTTGTCAAAGTTGGATATTAAATTGGGCACTTTACGTTTATTTCGGCTTATAACTTAAGAAAATGGATATTGTTCTTTTTATTAAATGTGTTTGTGCTCTTTCTCACACTCTCACATGTGTGTACATGCATGCATGCATGCATGCACCTGTGTCAAAGCATGTGTGTGTAGGTCAGAGGACAACTTGTGGTAGTTAGCTCTTTCCCTCCATCATGTAGGTCCTGGGGATCAAAATCAAGTTCGCAGGCTTCACAGCAGGTGTCTTTACCCACTGAACTATCTGATCAGCTGTGGTACAGTTTCCTGACTGATATTCAGTAACTAACTTTTGAAGAAGTAGCTTGGGGATAACTAAAGCAGTTACGTCTTCAAATCACGTGGGGGTATGCTAAGAGTTTGGCAGAAGCTAACCCTTCCAATTCTTAGGATTACTGAAGTCACTGTAGAGAGCAGGTGGGGAAACCTCTAGGGAATTTGTGGTCTTCTTGCCCTTTGATGCCTCTTTCCTTGTATTTCTCTGGAAAAACCATTATCTTCCAAATCTGTGTCCTTCATTTCTCCAAACAGTAAATGCAAAAGTGTTATGTGTGTTTATTGAGTTGAGAGGCTACATTGCCAACACCCTGTCTTTTTTTTTCTTACAGAATTTACCATCTACTGTTGTAGCTCATGTTCTGAATCCTCAACCTGGAGAGAAGATTCTAGATTTGTGTGCAGCACCTGGGGGCAAAACTACACATATTGCAGCATTGATGCAGGACCAGGTGAGAATGTCTTCATGGCAGGCTCCTCTCAGATAGTTACCATGGCCACTGAAAGTAACCTAGGTAACAAGGGTGTTTAAATGAAAGACTCTTCAGCTATGCCATTTACTACATTCAGTTCAGTTGACAGTTACTTGTGAGGCCAATCTCGAGATAGTCCCAGTTTGCTAATACAATTATAGACTTGTTCTCTTATAGACTTTTTAGCTGAAATATTTAAGAGATCTTTTCTTGCTCTTAATTTTGAGATTTTTATACTTAGATGAACTACTAAGACATAAACTTCCATTAAAAATTAATTTGAGAGAATATTATCAGTGTTGACATCGTATGTATGGTCTGTATGCACACATACTCTGTATCAATAAACAGATGCACATACATGTGAATGTTCAGTTGTGTATCTACAAAAGAATATAGTCCTGATAGTGTTTCCTTATCACAAATGTGAGTAAGTCTGATCCTGGATAACTTTCATCCAAATTTTACTGCATTTTTCTCTATATATGTGTATGTGTTCCAAAGAGCTTTCTTTTTATTATGGGTTGGTTTTTTCTGTGTTCAAAACTCATTAATGTTGTTCTCATTTTTTTCTTCAATTGAAGAAATACAGCCATTTGTTGCTGTCTTTTTTGTTTCAGGCTTTACAAAACTAAATGCTTGCTAAAATGTAACATGCAGAGAATGGGGCAGTGCAGTGAGATTGAATCCAAGGAGTGTGGATACTTTTGACAATGTTTGTGTGCTAATGGGGATATTCAAGTGAGAAGTTGAATACATCAGGGAGAGAGAATAATGACTGAAATAACATCTGAATAGGAGACATGGACTAGAATTTGACATGCAGGTGATGTTAAGTGGTATCATGAAACAGTTAACTCTACAAACAAGAAGGAAAGTCCCACACACGAGTGTAAGTGCTGGTGAAATGGAACACATTCTCGCACTCGCTTCAGTTTTCTCAATGAAATAGGAAGAAGAGTGACCAGATGCGAAGAGGATGGGGAGAAAGTAAGAATTTTGAGGTGTGAAATAATCAGGCTAGGAAACTGAGTGCAAAATGAGATGGGGGCACATCCACTTTTTACTAAGGGGTCATGATGTAGTGGTCAGAACTTTATGGTGAGGTTAGTTGATGTGATTTCATGCTCTTTAGCTGTGTCGGGGTGGGTGAGAAATTGACAAAGAACTGATTTAACCATGGCAGAGATTATAAATCTGCAGCAGAGAAGCATGGTATGTATATAGTTAGGCATGTGTAGAAGGGAATGACTGATGTGGTACAGGATCTAAGATAGTTGAGGGTGTAGCCTGTACATGGAGCACTTTGGGAGGCCAAGGCGTGATGATAGCTGGTAGTAAGTCAAGGGTTAATTTATGGAGTATTTAATGTACATACTTTTTCAGTTTACTTAGAACTTGGATGTGATTATCAATATACTTTAAAAATGTGATGATCTGCCTATAATTTGTGATATATTGGTTGTATTTGTTAAAAGCAGTTTGCTTGGTTGTGGGTCTAATGCTGGGGATTGAAACCAGGGCCTTTGTACAAGCCAGGCAAGTACATTTAAGAAGCTGTACTCGCTAGACATTATATCTTCTCTAGTAAAATAAATCTTTCCAAAGAGAGAGAATATTTATAAATGAATCCATTTGCAATGATTTTATGATTCTGCTTAAAAATACAGTGCCCTGGTGGCGTTAAATATTTGTTGAGCTGAGGCAGTTTAGGGGATTGGGCTAGTCTGAAGGGTCTAGTCATGTACCTGGTCAGCTGCAGATAAACTGGTGCTTCTGGTAATGTGGGATGAGCTCATTTGCTTGGTTTTTATGGTTTTTACTCAGCAAGCAACCTCTACTGAAAAAGCTAAGACGCCCTGCCTCTCTGGTCCATGTGTTTCTCTCCCCTGCTAATATCTGAGGACCTGCCAAGCAAAGGGCAGTAGTTGAGGCTGTTGTCAATTGTCCAAACACTTTTATGTATCTTCTTATATCCCATCCACCATCTTGCTGTCAGCCAAAAATAGCGATATGGCCTAGTTCTAGAGTGGAAGGTTGTTGAATACTTCAAGTTTGCTGGAGCTTTTAATTTTTTTGTTATTAGTTAAGCAAGCATATACATGCAGCTTCTAGACTTGTGCATTTGTAAACATGGCCAGGAAAGTTTTTCTTTCTCTGTAGTGTAGTTGAGCCTTATTGGGCTTTTTTTTTTTTTTCCTCCTACTTTTCCTGTTCAGGTCACCTTAAATGCCAAGGTTTTCCTATGCAGCCTGTTTGTCAAGGTATTGGATTTTTTATTTTTAAGCCCTGATGATGATGAAATGTGACCAGAAAATTTCTGTATTATAGTATTGATGCATGAGACATGTAAGGGTGATATATGTATATTTTAAAGACAAGAAAATATACAGAAGAGTTGATCCACCATGTACTGTCACTTAATAGTGTGTTTCAAAATCTCACCCAGATGACTCAGTATGTTCTTAAAACTGTGACTATATGACTTTGACTTAAGTGTGATTGGTTAATATATCTTAAGTTAGTTTCATTATGACATTTCCATACATATTGGTCATTATACTTTGTTTTTCTTCATCTCCTTTATCCCTTGCTCTTCCCATCCATCTCTCATGCTGTCCCCTTTCCTCCCCACAAATCATCTTTGCTTCTGCTTACATGTCACATAAATCCCATTACTCTTTTTTCCTGCCTCCCACTTCCTTTAAAATTGCTTTGTCTGTTCTTGTGGTCCCCTTCTACTTTCATGATGAACACAGACACACACATGCACAAAGTCTGAATATGGGAGAAACTATGTAATACTTGTATTTTTTTAATCTGGCTTGTTTTGCTTAACATAATGATATCTTCTTCCATCCATTTTCTTGCAAATGTCATTCAATTTCCTTTGCATGTATTTTCTTGAGGATTTCTGTCTGTGTTTATCAGAGAAATTGGTCTGTAGTTTTCTTTGTCATGCTCTTACCTGATATTAGCACAATGACAATCAATACTGGCTTCAAGAATGAGTTTAACAGTGGAAGAGTTTGAGTAACCTTGATTTTAGCTCTTTTAAAAGTTTGGTAGAATTTAGTATGAAGCTTTCTAGTTCTGGGTTTTTCTTTGTTAGGAGTCTTCTTTTCACTGCTTCAATCTCACTGGTTGCTATGGATCTGCTTAAGTTCTTGAATTAATTTTAGTAGATCATATGTGCTTAGGAATTTACCCATTTATTCTAGATTTGCTAGTCTTTGGAACATAAGTTTTCACAGTATTCTTTAGTGAGCTTCTGTATTTCATTGCCATCTGATATAACATCCTTTTTTTTTATCTTTAAGTTTATTAATTGAGTCTTGTTCTTTTGGAAGGACTTGTATGGGTAGAAGTATATTAATCTTGTTCATCTTTTCAAACAACATTTGGTTGAGTTTATGTTTTATTCTTTTAGACTCCATTTGATTAATTTCTGCCCTTTGTTATTTCTTGCCTTTGTGCTGAACTCATTCTTACATTCCTGAGACTTCAAGCAGCATCATGAAGTTATGTAGTTGAGAACTCTGATCTTTTTTAAATGTAAGTGCTCATAGCAAAAACCAACCAAAAATGTTCCTCTTCAGAGTTCTCTTAGCTATGTCCTAAATGTTCTGATATGTTTTCCTTTCATTTTAATTTTTTTCTTATTAAAAAAAATTCCTTCTTGATTTTTTTTCAACGGTCTACTGGTCACTTGTAACATGAATATTAAGTGGCCTTATTAATAAAAAACTCAGTGCCAGCTATTGGGGTAAATTCTGAAAGATCAAAGAAGCAGAACAAGCCACAGGTAACCTCACCTTGCCAACTTCTCAGCTGATCCTGTTTCCATGAATCTTCAGACAGAAAGCTTCTGAGTCCTTATCCGAGTCGGTCTCCCCTGAACTGCTGCTAAAAGCCTAACAACTTAAAAGGCTCTAGTTCCTGGTCCTCACGCCTTATATACCTTCCTGCTTCCTGCCATCACTTCCTGGGATCAAAGGCATGTGTCTTTCCCAAGCAAGAAATGAAATCTCAAGTGCTGAGATTAAAGGTGTGTGTCACCATGCCTGGCTGTTTCCAGTGTGACCTTGAACTCACAGAGATCCACCTGGCTCTGCCTCCCGAATGCTGGGATTAAAGGCATGTGCCACCATAGCCCAGCTATTTTAAATTATTTTAAATATCAGTTTCTTGATAAATTTTTCTTTCATGTTCCTTTTTCTTCCATAACACCTTTTCCTTCATTTTGGTGACTTTCCTATATGTCTTGCGTCGAATTAATCTGCCTGCTTGTCTCCTCTTTGATTCATCAGTCATTTTGCAAGCAAACTTCTGAAGCTGTCCTCCTGCATCCTCTAGTCACCATCTTTGAATGTACTAGTTAAGGAGTTAGGGTGTTTCCCAAGCCCCATTGCCTGGCTTTGCATGTTTCTTGCGTATCTGTGATATGATTTGTTTATTGGATGGTCTGGACAGCTCTGCTTTTCTTTGGGGATCTTATTGAACAGCCTCCTAGTGAAGGCTTCTTTTCCACTACTGCCCAGAGAAGAAAATGATGCCTTGCTGGAAGAGCAACAATGTCAAACCATGTAAGATATAGAAATACCCTTAAAAATCTATTGGAGCCATTGATATTTATGTTATCAATGATCATGAAAGAGAAAAATGGTAAAACTTACACAGAATGACAGAACATGCTACACAGTTAAAAAGTACTCAGCGTGAGTGCAGAAGTAGTGAGAAAACAGAGAACTATGAAATTAAAAAGTACTGATGGGAGTGTGGGATAATCAGTGAGGTCGAAGGGTGGGAGAGGAAGGGGAAGATGAGGAAGTGAGGTTTAGTGAGTGGAAGGAAGTGAGCAGTAGTGGAGAGACACGCTGGGAGAACAAGGAAACAGCACAGGATAGGTGAAACATAAGAAGTAAGATTTCCCATTAATGAGGTGCTTTAATGGCAAAATTAGAGGGAAGCTAAGGAGTAAAAGTGGAAAGCATAAATTTTTATTTTAAAATGGTAAAGAAGAAATGTTAGTGTAAGTACCAGCACTTACTTACAAATCAGGATGTCCTGATATGGTCAATGGGAATGAAAACCAGGCCGGGTTGGAGGGGGTCTCAACAAGACTGAGGCTGAGACAAGTTTATTCCAAGCAATTGGGCTTTTTATACCCCTATCAAAACAGAATACCATGGTGGTTGCCAGGACAGTGGTGGTTGTAATTGATACAGGGCATATAAGAATAATGTCTAAGACTTAATTGTCAAACTTCTGTATGTGCCAGTAACTTCTGAGGGAAACAGAGACACAAGTGACCTGCATGCTTCACTGCCTGTGGGGGTGCCTCAGTTTCTCAGGAACTGAAAGGCACACAGTGCCCCAGGAGCCATGGACTCTACCCTGAAAAATTTGTGATGCACGCCTCTTAGGGCAGCTAGCCCAGGCCCACTCCATGATTCCCTCATGCTAGAAAGAAAACAATTGGAGGAGAACAGGAGACAAAAAAGAATAAAACACAACAAAATAGGTTTTTCTAGTAATAAAAAATGCATTTAAAATGTGAAATAAATTCATGAAGGGCTATAAAAAACATGAAATGTTCTAAAATGCAATGAAGTGAAAATACTGCTAAAAAGTGCTAAGAAGAAAAAAAGGAAGCAGAGGGGACAAAAGAAAAAAAGAGAAATTGTTGGAGTAGTTTCTGGGGTCCTTGAGACAGAGACTAAGGGCAGTGAGTGGATCAGATGAGTTTGTGGCCTCTTGTCTTTCCCCTGGTTTATTCTGCTGTTGAACCTGTATTGGCTCCTGATTCCCACCAAGCTCTCTTGACTTTAGTAGCTTCCCTTTGCACACCAGGTACCTCAGGTGGCCACCTAGCTTTGCAGTCACATGTGGGTATGTTCACTCTGCTGAAAAGCTCTGGATTTTATCTTTTGCTATTCTAGCTGAGGGGTGTCTCCCAAGCACACTGGGACTATGGAAAAGAACCACAGCTCTCAGATCTGTACAGGAGGAGGACCTGTCTTCATAGTTTCAAAACCTCCTGAGTCATAATCATCTGCACTCCAGAGTTCTTAAGGATCTATAACACTGAAGGTGCTAGGTGGCTCTTGAGGTCCAGCCACCTCTGACCTCAGGCTCTGTCCACCAGGCACTACTGCTATTCCCACTCACTGGGATAATGCCTGCCTGAGGAGGTTCTGGTGCAAGACTCCTGCAGCCTGCACTTTGCAGACTGTCAGCCCCTGCCCTCCTGCTCTGCCCAGCCAGCCCCCAGGCCTGTAGCAGATTACATTTAAATTCCCTGACATATAGTCATTGCCTGCTCTCTGGGCTCAGGGTAGCTCATTTTAAATAATAGCATCCTTCTTGAGATAGCACCCAGGGAGTCCTAGGGAGTGACAACTGGGAGTCCCCTCTACTGCTGACCACCAGAGGCACTGCCTCAGCAAAACCTGCTCTAGGCTTTGTCCTAAAAGTAGGACTGCCAGTCTTTCTTCACCAGGGTCACCTGGGGATCATGCTGCTGGGCTGTGTTCCTGTCACTGCCTTTGTGGCTCTGACCTTCTTCCTCATCCCTCTTTGGAGAGGAGTCTTTCCTTTACTGGCTTTCTTATGGTTTCTATGGCTGTGGAGAGACACCATGACCACAGCAACTCTCATAAAGGAAAACATTGAATTGAGGCTGGCTTACAGTTCAGAGATTTAGTCCATTATCCTGGAGAGAAGCATGGCAGTATGCAGGCAGACATGGTGCTGGAGAGGAGCTGAGATCTGGATCTGTAGACAGCAGGAAGAGAAAGTAAGCCCCTGGGCCTGGTGTGAGCTCCTTAAACTTCAAAACCCACCTCCAATGACACACTTCCTCCAATAAGGCCAAACCTATTGCAGCAAGGCCACATGCCCTGATCCTTTCAAATACCACTCCCTGTGAGCCTATGGGGGACATTTTTATTCAAACCACCATACTGGCTCACACTTGAGAGCTTCTCAGTTGCCACCTGATCCTGGTGTCCTATACGAGTGTTTGAACTTTGTGCCTTTTCAAAGCATTGTTGCTGTGGTATACAAAAGTTTGGGCCAATGATATTCTCATTTTGGTTACCGTAGTTCAAAGAATTTTGTGACACTTGAAAATATTAAGACGAGGATCAACTTTACAGATACTCATTTGTATGTAATCCCTTGAAGCTAGATGTTTCATATTTGGAAGCTCACTTTTCCCAAGGTAAGCAGTCACTCAAGATTGGTGGTTTATGTTTACCTTCAAGAGTGTTTCTAAGCTTCTTGAAAATAAGCAAACATTTTTTTTCAGTTTGATTTCTGTAGATTAAAGATAGGCTAGGTGTGGCTGGGCGGTGGTGACGCACGCCTTTAATCCCAGCACTGGGAGGCAGAGGCAGGCGGATTTCTGTGAGTTCAAGGCCAGCCTGGTCTACTGAGGGAGATCCAGGAAAGGCGCAAAGCTACACAGAGAAACCCTGTCTCGGAAAAAACCAAAAAAAAAAAAAAAGATAGGCTAGGTGTAAGAACAATTGGCAGGTATGTGTTGTTTGTTTAAAGGAAAGATTAAGTATTTAAGGAATTAATTTTTCAGTGCTCGGAACTGTCTCTGGGACCTGTGCTTGCTAGGAAACCCTCTACCCCTGAGCTAGACCCCTCAGCCAATGTAAATTTGGTGTCCATTTGGTAAAAGATTTCAGCAGACATGGGAGGAAAGCGGGAGACCACAGTTTTACACTAGTATTTTATATTGCTGATTTTCATAACTGCTTTGGATTTATGCTTTATTTTCATTTTTTAGGGAGAAGTAATAGCACTGGATAAAATATTGAATAAAGTGGAAAAATTAAAGCAGAATGCTTCATTATTAGGACTTCATTCTATCAGGGCGTTTTGCTTTGATGCAACAAAGGCACTTAAACTTGATATGATTGATGGCATAGAAGGTAACCTTGTTTTTCTTGTTCCGTGTATTCTGCTCATAATTGCATGTACTCATTGGATCTTGATACAGTTATGAATGTGGAGTGAGCAGAAAGTAATTAAGATAATGTATTAGTGTTTATGTAATGTTTAATGTAATGTCTGTGTTGATGTTTTAATGTAATAATGTTTAGGTGTCAAGACACTCAAAATTTACTCTTGACAGCTTTGAAATGCAGTATATGTTATTACTAAGTGTAGAATCCTGTTGTGCACTAGGTCGTAAAAACTTACTCTTCCTGTCTAGGTAAACTTAGTAACTTTTCCACAGTATCTCCCTGTCCTTCCCAGCCATTCCTCGATAACTATTGTCTCTCTATCTGCTTTAATATGTTTTGCTTTTTAGCTTCCAGATATAATTGTCTTTTGGCGCCTGGCTTAGTTTCATTTAGCATACTATCCTCTGGATTCTTCCATGCTGTTGCAAGTGGCAGATTTTTTTTCAAAGCTGAGTAATATTCTATTGTGTATATGCACTACATTTTTTTCATAATGTTTCTTGTTGGTAGACTCTTGAGTTGGTTCTGTAGCTGCTTTTATAAAAAGTGTTAAAGTGAGCATGGGAGTGTAGATAACTAACAACAGTTCCCGTCCATACATTCCCACTATCAAGCGTGATTGCTATATCACACAGCTGTTTTATTATTTATTGTTTGAAGAACCATGCCACTTCATTAGTGGTTATATTAATTTATGTTCTTACAACAGTACATGTGTGCCCTTTCTCCTCCATGCTCTCACCAAATTACCTTCTAGTTTTCTTTTGATAAGTACTTCCTCATAAGGGTCAGGTTGTATGTCTTACGGTTTTGATTGCATTCTCCTGAAGGTTAGTTGTAGTGAGCGTCTTTTCCATATACCCACTGACCATATTTTCTTTTGAAGAGCAATTAATGCCAATCTAAATCTTCTCCCTTTGGGTTGTGTATTAGTTGCTATGATAAAACACTGACAAAAGGAAACTAAAGAAAGGTTCCTTTTGCTTCACATTGTGGAGGTGTACCCTGTGTTTCTAACCTCCCGTCATGGTGTACTCTGTGTTAATGAGTGACTTTTCCATCATGGTGTAGTCTGTCTTAATGACTTTTCCATCATGGTGTAGTCTGTCTTAATGACTTTTCCATCATGGTGTAGTCTGTCTTAATGAGTTTTCCATCATGGTGGACTCTGTATTGATGACCTCCCCATCATGGTGCGGAAGGTGTGTGCAGTGTCAAGTGCTTCTCCAGCTGTTGCAGCAAGAGCCTGAGGAACTGGTCACATTACATCATAGGTAGGAGGTAGAGGAATGCTGCTTTCCACTTCTTTGTCCTCCTTTTCCTCCCGGACTTCAGCCCAGGGAGTGATGCTGCCAGGTTTAGGGTGGGTCCCCTCTCCAGTTAAACATCTCTGAAATGCCTCCACAGACACACCCTCACTGACACTTCCTGAGGTGTGTTTCTTAGGTGACCTTAAATCCATTGAGGTTACAGTGATGAGCCATTACAGCAATGAATAGTTTTTTGTTTTGTTTGATTTTAGTACGTATAACTGTTTTTTTTTTGTCTGAAATATTGAATCCATTTTATTCCGATAAATAACTGAGTGGTGAAGACTTGAGCCATTTGTTCCCTATTTCCTAAGTGATTTGTAGATGCGCTTGCTTTCTGTGTTGCTGCCTTCTTTTGTAATTAGGTGTGTTTCTAGTGTGCTGTTGAAATCTTCTGCTTATCCATTGTAGGTTTTGGTCACCCAATTTACCAACTTTACTGTAAAGCATATCCATCACAGGCCATTTGAAGCTGATAAGGACTGAATTTTGCATTAAAAGCTCAAGATTTTTTCTTAGTTCTCCATTTTTATTTTGTTTTTATTGCATAATTTGTATATTTCTATATTGTGTATCCCTAAACAAATAATTGTAAGTTACTCTTTTTGGTGGTTTGGATGAGATGTCTCTCACAGTCTCAGGCATTTGAACTTCTTGCTTTACTTTTTATCTTCTTCCTTTTTTCCTTCTGACTATATATTTTCAAATAATTCCTCTTTGGATACACATCATTTTTCTTCTACTCAATGAATTTTCTCTTTGACACTCTTACTTGTCTTTCTGTTTGTTATAGTTTTCAGCTCCATTTGTTGAAGAGTCTGTCTTTGCAATGCACATTTTACACCTTTGCCAGAAGTGAGGTAGCCATAGCTGTGTGGGTTTAAGACTTGTGCTCTGTTCCTTTGGTTGGTGTGGTTCTATGTGCCTTTTGTCCCAGTGTGCCTCTGTTTTTATAGCTTTGTGGTGCGATGTGAAGCTGGTATTAACTAGTATTGGCATTTCTGTTTAGGGTTGCTTTGGCTGTTTGGGTCTTTTGGCTTCTGAATGAATTTTGGGATTGCTTTTTTCTGTGAAGAATGTCATTGGAAGTTTGATGGTTCTGGTATTGAATCTGTGGGAGTCTTTGTAGAATAGAGCCATTTCCACAGTAGTATTCTACCAGTCCATGAACACGGGTGATCATCTTTCCATCTCCTAGTGCTTTCTCCGGGGTTTTAAAGTTAGGAAAAGCTTCTGGTAAGTAGAACATATGTATTCTTACAGTATATTATTATAGAAGTTTGTATTTGCCTTTCTGGTTTTGTTTTGTTTTCCAAGACAGAGTTTCTCTGTGTAACATCCCTAGCTGTCCTCGAACTCACAGAGATCCTCCTGCCTCTGCCTCCCAGCATTAAGCGCACCATCTTAGCTTCATGTTTGTTGCTGTAACCAAGTATCTGACAGTGATACTTTAAAGAAGTAAAGATTTAATTTGGCGTTTCAGTCCATAGTGGCAGGCAGGGCATGATGGATCACAACAGTCCATTGTGGCCACCAGTAACCAGAGCAAAAGGGGATAACATCTAGGGCAAAATACTGTCCCCAGGACCATTCCCCCAGTGTCCTCCAGCTAGTCCTCCCTCTTGTCTTCTACTGCCTCCCAACATTAGGAATTAATCAGTGTCTTAGATTAGGGCCCCTGTGATTGGATCATCTATGGAAATAGCATCACAACATACCCCAAGGTGTATGTAAAGTTACTAATGTCTCAGGTATTTCTCAAACCAGTCAAACTGGCAAGAAAGAACAGCCATCACAGTTTATTAGGAACGGTGAGATTAGGCATTGCCATCACCCTCATCAAATTACAGGTATGTAGTGCCCTATAAAGTGTGAGTCAGTTCTGAATTACAGCCTGTAACAGGTTTTCAAAGTGCTGGGCCCTGCAAATACGGAGCTTCAGGAACATATTCAGAACAAACTTATAGTTTGCGTGGACGTTCTTTGTGGAATTGCAGGTTTCTTAGTTTTTAGGCAATTGTTGAGAGTTGTATTTCAGGTGAATTATTATGGCCACAGAATAAAAAAAATGTACAAAGTATTTCAATAGCTAATTTAGTATAAATTTAAATCAGTGAGAGACCACTTATATGAAAATAAGCAGTAGGAAGAACATGGTGAATGGATACTTGCAGGCTGTAAAGCAGAAGGGAAACTGTGGAGACCTAGACCTGCCAGCTGCTGGAGGGAGCACTGCTTAACTGCTGCAGGAGTCTCCACACAAGCAGGGACTACCTGCACCTGAGATGTCATCACCTGGAGAGGGCTCTGGCTACTCCAGACTGTTAGAGGAAAGGGTGGAACTTATGGTGCCAAAGTAAAAAGGACTGTGAAGGTTTTGACAAGAAAATAGAGGATGAGGAGAAACTCTGTTCTCCATACCTGTTGTCTTTCCTTTCCCCACCCCATCACATCACTCCTGGACCTCCTGTTAGTGGCTCTTGCAGCCAGCAGGCAAGTATGGTAGTCATTTGCATCATTTTAAGATGACTTCACACTGGGAACCACTTGAAGGAATGAAAGCAAAATTTTAATAGTTGACATTTATGTATTTTAGTTAAAAAACTAAAGCTATGAAAATAGATTGTGGAAAATATTCATAGAATATTATGGGAAAGATTCCTATCTTCTATATATAAGAGATGTTCTGTTCAGTAAGAAAAGGCAATGATTTCAGTAGGGAAAAGCTATACAAAGGATGTAATTATTTAAAGGAAAAATACAATTGGTCAATAAAAAGGTGTTTTGATGAGGATTTGGGGAAAGCGGGTACCCACACTCATGATAATGACAGTATGCACTGGTATAATTTGTGTGTGTGTGTGCAAGGGGGGGGGGATTATCAGTATCTATCAGAAAATAAAGATTTATTTGCAAAGTATTTTTTCCAAGACAGTAGAAGAAACAGAAAAAAAAAGATTCTAGAATAAAGTGGGTTACATTGATAATTGCTTGTGTCCTTACAGCCTTCTAACCAGATAAAAACAGAAGATAATTCTGTGTTTAAATAAAAGTGTTCAGTAACAATGCCAAGCTTGAAGGTAAAGAACACAAGTTTCATAACTTTCTCCAGGAACACCAAATACATCAGAAATTATTCATGAACACACAAGGGAAACCTGATGGACTGTTAACTCCAGGGGGCTAATGGATCATAGTAGACAGTAGCCATACACATTGCCATAAAAGCAGGAGAATAAACAACAGCAGCCAGACCAGCATGCTTGACCAGAGCCAGGCAGGCTCTGACTTTTCGAGAGCTGCCTGCAGGGGGCGTTACCAAGGAAACAACTTCCGCTGTGACTGATGACTGGAAGTGGTACTAGCTGCTGACTCTGGGGCATTATGGCTTCTAATACTGGAAGTTGAAGTTCTTCATTTGATTTGGTGTGGTTTGTGTTATACTAAGAAAACTCTCGTCTACAACAGCTGCATTTTAATGTTCTTACAAAGTCAAATCTATATGAAATAGAAGTAATTCTTAGCTTAGCCAAGGACTTGCTTAAAGGGAAAAAGGATTTTTCTTTCTTTAATATCTTGGATTATGATGTAAATTTCTCATTGTTGCTTCTATCTCAAGAGTATTCTATTCTTTTCTAGACCTATATGTAAGAAAGCAGATAATGTTTAGAATTCTCTTTTATAGGGGCACCTCCATTCCTACCAGAATCTTTTGACCGAATCCTCCTCGATGCACCCTGCAGTGGGATGGGACAGAGGCCAAATATGGCTTGTACTTGGACTTTGAAGGAAGTGAGATCATATCAGCCACTACAGCGAAAACTCTTTAATGTGGTATGGATCCTTTGCTGTGAAGAAATTGACCATTACTAGTTCAGTGTTCAGTCTACCAAGACTATTGTGTGTAGCAGTAGCCTTCACTATGATCAAGGGGTAGATGGCGGCAATCAGGAGTCATGGGCAGAGACTGCATACATATAATTTGATATGGCCGCATTGAATATTTATTCAGCCTTAAAAAGGAGTGAAATTTGGTACATGCTACAATATAGATGGCCTTGGAGACTTTATACTAAGTTAAGTAAACCAGACACAAAAGGAAAATTTTGTATGATCCCAATTATAAGGTAATTAGAATAGGCAAATTCCTAGGAACAGACAGTAGAACAAAGGGAGTATGTTGAGAGAAAGGGTAGTTATTTAATGGTTATGGAGGTTAAGTTTGGGATGCTTACACAAATGAATGCTTAATGTCATTGGGTTATTCAGTTAACATGATAAATTTTATTTATCTTTTTTTATTTGTTTATTTGCTACAGACAAGAAAGAGATTGAGAACACCTAGTGTTTTGTTTGTGTGGCTTTAGTTTTTTTTAAGACAGGCTCTCATGGTGTATCATAAGCTGGACTCAAGCTCTCAATATTCTACTCTCAGCCTCATAAGTGCTATGATGATTTGTATGCATTATCATATCCAGTTACAGCTTTAAACCTAGGGAGCCTTTCTTTATATTGACCCATTCTTTAAAATACACAACAGTAGCCTATAGTATGTTTTCATTGAGACATTCAGTGAATTGTAAACATTCTACCCCTTAAATGAAAATAGAACAACAGAACAAAAAGACAATTGGCTGAGTTGTTCATGCATAGTTGCTAATTGATGTAAATAATTCAATATAAATGAATTACTCTTTACTCTTCCTGGCTTAGTTTAGTTATGAGGTTAGAAGTCAAAAGTCTAATACAAGGTAACACATTATTAAACTAGGCACGATAACATCCAGAATGTAGAAGGATCATAACAACTGCAAATTTAATTGATCAGTACAGTACACATAGAATATTTGAGAATTTTTGTCCGTTTTGTTAAACTTAGTATATTTCAAAATATGATGTACTTCATTTTATGTTAATTTCAGTTTTTCTATTTTTAAAAATTTATGAGCAGATGTGTGTTTATTTGTCTGTATATATACTGCCTGAATGAAGGAGTCTGAATAAACCAGAAGGCCTCTGAAACTAGAGTTACAGGTGGCATGAGCTTCTATGTGGGTGCTGAGAACTGAACCTGAGTCCTCTGCAAGAGCAGTAAGCGCTCTTAACTGTGGAACCATCTTTCCAGCCCCAATATAATGTTCTTTTGATGAGATATGAATTCATTATTTCTCCCTTTTCCTGCAATGATAATGCATAGACTACAGCAATAAGTAATATGCTGTAATTACTCAGTTTCTAAAGTTGTCTTTGAGTACATTTCTGATCTTCCTTTCTTGTTGCCTCCTTTCATAAACAATAGAAGCCCTGGTTGTGGATTATTTAAATAGTTTTCAGAATAGTCATCAAAGAACATGCCTCTGGCCTGAAAGGATGCTTTCCAGACAAAATGCCTGAGGGTAAAAGAAAGTTACCGCTTTATTGCTTTTTCCTTCTGTTGTTGCTTTTGGGTTATAGTGAAAATGGAAATTCAGAAAGGTTGCTGAGAGTAGATGGATGATTTCAGTGCAGAGTGCCAGCTGTGAGGGAGAGCTTAGAGAGCAGGTGTGCCCTGTGCCATGGCTAGACCGCCAGCTGTGAGGGAGAGCTTAGAGAGCAGATGTGTGAGGTGTGGTTAGACATTGAGAATGTGAACTTTAGGATCAGAACTGTCTTCATTGGAGCCATGACTCCTCTACATTAGTGACTTTGGGTACGTTGATTTCTAGTTGGATGAATGGGGAGAACAACACTATGTCGTAGGAATACTCTATTGGAAATAGCAGCCTGGCTTCATTGTTGGTAAAGATTCTTTGAGAAAATTCATGTGAAAGTCTTTAGCATAGTAGCTGGCACAAAGTCACAGTGTTTACATTCCTTTAGATAAGGCACAAGTATGGATTATGATTTTTTGAAAGTTTTTTATTAAAATTTTAAACAAAATCATAAGTTTATTTAAAAGGAAACAAAGTTGACTGGGTAGGAAATGGGGGAGGGGGGAGAGTGAATCAAGGGAAAGTTAGGAGAAGAGGCTAAATAAGACCAAAACAGATTGTATAAGATCCTCAGAGAACTCAGGAAATCTCTATGAGCTTAAAAAGATAAACTTTAGGGATGTAGCCCATTGGTAGAGTGCTGGCCTAATGTGCTAGTCATTTCTTGTTGCTGTGACAAATACCTGATGAAAACAACTTAGTTTTTGAGATCCAGCCATCTTGGTGAGAGTCATGGCATCTGTGGCTGAGGTATCTGGTCACATTGCATCTGTAGCTCGATGCTGAGAGCAGTGGATGTTAGAACCCATCTTGCTTTCTTCTAATCAGTCCAGAACCTTAGCCTATGGAATAGTGCTCCCACAGTGAAGGAAAGTTGTTCACCCAGGTTAACCTAATCTAGACAATCACAGGCATGCCAAGAGGCCTGTTCCTCAGTGATTCTAGATCCTGTTCAGGTGACACTAACCATTACTCCTATCATGCATGAAGCTCTGGATTAGATTCCCAGTAAGACATACAGAGTGGAACAGTACACACCTGTGATCTTAGCACTTGGAGATAGAGGCAGGGAATCCCAAGTTTAGAGTCATCTTTGCCTAGATGGGGAATTCGAGGCCAGCTTGGGATATATGAGAGCCTGCCTAAAAAGAAAAGAAGATAAACTTAAGATATTTAGGAGAAAATTACTTTAGCGTGGTAGCACATATCCTGATTCCTGCTAAATACCTACAGCATGCAAAATCATGTCTAGATGGTAACCAAGAAAGCGAATAATTCCTGCCCTTCTCTAAGAGCTTCTGTTCTGACTGGCGGTTTGTTATATTACATGATATTAATGTTGTAGAGCAAACTACAGAGAGAAAGGAGTGCTGTGGGTCTGTTGTGATCAGGAAGAGTATTTCAGAAAGGGGATCGATGAGCAACAATGGGTAGAACATCGTGAAGGAACAGCAACTTAGAGAAGTAGGAGAGTTTCTAACCTACTCAAGGATCCTCAAATAGCAGTGACTTTGGGTGTTAGAGGAACAGCAGAAGGGCAGGAAGGGCAGAAGTGGGGAGGTCAGTGTGGCAGGAACACCTGTATGTAGAGCCTTGAAAACTTTCAGGACTTTACTTGTGAAGCTGAGAAGCAAAAAGTTGAAAAGCATTGTTCAGACTAGTGTGTAGAGACAGGCTTGTAGGAGGGCAGAGAAACAGACTGGCAGATTTAACTGATGTATAATCCAGCTGAAAGTTAAAGAGTCTTGAATTGAAATGATGGTAGTGGAAGCTGGGAGTGGTAGCCAAAAACTGGATTGTGTGGGTTCACACACATATTTTTTATTTATTCCATGTGTATACATGTGTGCCTGAGTGTATGTATGTGTACCATGTGCATGCAGGCACCAGCAGATGTCAGAAGAGGGCATCAGATCCCCTGAAGCTGGATTTATAGGCAGTTGTGAACCATTATATAGATGCTGAACTTGAACCTGAGTCTTCTGCAAGAGCAGTAAACACTTTTACCCACTGAACCGTCTCTGTATTACATATTGAAAGAAGGGCCAGTAGGGTTGACCAGTGGAAGGGAAGGTGAAAGGACTACAAGCATAATTGGTGCTCTGAGGTTCAGGGCTGGAGCTTTGGGAAGACTGGGAAAGCTTTTCCAGCAGGTTTCAGAGATGGATGAGTATTTATTTGGGGACACATTACCTGAGATAGCAGAAATGTTGACAGACAACTGAATATGTGCATATAGGATTCAGAAAGGAGGTCTCCCTACAAATACAGGTGTGGGCATACAGATAACATGGGAAAGGAAGTAACTGAAGGTTGTGTGTGAGATGCTGAGTCTGTGTATATCATAAAGCTCCCAGGTAAGGCTGCATGCGGTCTGCAGTATGTACATTGAGCTCTAACAACAGGAAGAGGCTGCTATCACACAGGACAGCATTTTATCGTCACTTGTAAGATACCATGTGCCATTCTGTAACTTACTTTGGGTTATTTATTGGATCTTGTGGCATGCATAGTCTGATCATTGATTTCTTTAGGCAGTTCAACTGCTGAAGCCAGGGGGAGTACTGGTTTACAGCACATGTACAGTAACTCTGGCAGAAAATGAAGAGCAAGTTGCCTGGGCCCTCACAACATTCCCCTACCTTCAGCTTCAACCCCAGGTGAGAACACTAACATTTCCCAGTGTTACCAGCATCTCACAGTGTGACATGCACTGTTACAAACAGGATGCTATGGAGTGGTGTGTCAAAACTCTGAATGAAGCACTCTATTCATAAGAGTGATGGTGTGTTCTGACTGACCATGGGGATTCACATGACCAAATGAGAAAGCAACTCCTCTCTCTGTACTCTGCCATTGTGCTAAACTGGGACAGTATCTTTCTGATGTTTATTCCACTTGCTAGTATTAACACTGCATCTCCAAAAAAATGCTTTTCCTTTTTTTCTTTTTGGTTAGATTTACTCATGTATATGAGTATGTTGCTCACATGTTTGTATATATACTATGTGCATTCCTGTTGCCCATGGAGGTCAGAAAAGGCATCAAATCCTCTGAATCTGGAGTTACAGATTGTTGTGAACCACCATACGTGGATACTAAGAACCAACTCTGGTTCTCTACAAGATCAGCAAGTGCTCTTAACCATTGAGCCATCTCTCCATCTGTGCAAAAAAACTTTTTACTTCCTTTACAGACCTACATTTTTCTAATTTGGAAATGATTGAGCATTTTTGCCTCTGCCACATCAAACACACTGCAACAGTGGACTGTAGGACATTTGAAAACTAGACATGGGGACAAACTGCAGCTCAGGAATGTCACCCTTTACACTTTTATGTTAATATAGGATATTATTCAAGCCCTTTGTAGTTTGTTTAGTGACCACTAACCTGAGTTCTTTGTTACATTTTTTATTAAAGCTGATTCAAGTTTGAGATATTTATGTCTACAGGGATGTAAACATTCAGAGACATTGAGTATCTGACTTTGTGGCTTCCTATGCAGAACTCTAACAGGTTAATAACAGTCTAGAAAGGGCCCTAGACAAAGTGATTAAGATAATTACATGTAAATGAAAGTAAGACTTCAGAATGCATATGGAATCTGTTTAAAGAAGTAATGGAAGATTCTCCCCATGACTGCCATGGATGACTGTTTTCTTGACAGTAGTTTCTTTTCCATCAGTGTCCAAAACACTTGTGTGTGGAATGATGGCTTGTTGGCATTTCTGGATCTTTAGCACTAGTGGTTTTTTTAAAAAAGTCACTGAATTCTCTCTGATTCCTTAAAACCTAGTTGATGCAGCCATGATTTACATATCCTTTTCTAATATGTATTCTTCTAGTGTGTATAAAATAAGAAAACTTCCATAGTAGAGTTGATGTGGTTAAAGGCATTTTAGATGTCTCAGGGGCTAGCTCCTTTGGCTGTTAGAGAATGAGAAGACTGACTATTCATTTGCTTCATCGATAAAGTTCCACTCACTGAGTGTCAATGATACACCAGGCCCAATAGTGTTGTGCTGTGGGATGTTCTGTATGCTGTGAATATGTATTGCTCTGATCAGTTGATAAATAAAATGCTGATTGGCCAGTAGCCAGGCAGGAAGTATAGGTGGGGCAAGCAAACAAGGAGAATTATGGGAAGAGGAAGGTTGAGTTGGGAATCACCAGCCAGACAGAGGAAGCAAGATGACAAGGCAGAACTGAGAAAAGGTACCAAGCCATATGGCTAAACGTAAATAAGAATTACGGGTTAATTTAAGTGTAAGAGCTAGTCAGTAATAAGCCTGAGCTAATAGCTAAGCAGTTATAATTAATATAAGCCTCTGTGTGCTTCCTTGGGGGACACGAGCGGGAGAGATTTATCCCAACTGCCGGCAGTCTGGGACACAGGAAAACTTTTGACTACAGTATTGTCTTTATTTAGCTTAATAACTGGGTATTTTACCTATCTTATATGTGAGTAAATAGAGTTAGGTAAAGCTGCTTGCTTAAGTGTTATAGCTGAAATATATTAGAGCTGCATTTTTAAATCTACAAGCTTCTAATCATAACCTTCAGGCCTTTTGTAATATCATAGAACTATATAAATACAGAGGATCCTAAATAAGAGCTCCTTCATCAGGTGGCCACATAGCACTGCTTCTCTACTCCCTCAAATTGGCATGTGCATCCCATATTATTCTTCTGGAAGGGGTCAAATGCACAACCAGTTTGTCTTTTTAACTTAAGCTATGAAGAGGCAACTTACTAACTGTAGGACATTCAACCCATTTGTTCATTTCTTCCCAACAGGAACCACAGATTGGAGGAGAAGGAATGGTGGGAGCTGGCCTGTCACCACAACAATTGAAACAGCTACAACGATTTGATCCGTCTGCTGTGCCACTGCAGAACGTGGACACTGATTGTCTCGGAGATGGCAAAAGAGAAGACATGATCTGGCTGGCCAACAAGGATTGCATAGGCTTCTTTATTGCAAAGTTTCTAAAATGTAAAAGCACAGAAGAGAAGGTTTCTCAGAAATGAAAATTCAGAATATTTTCTCTGTGTGTTGCTTTTTCTTACACCAAAGTGTTGACAGGCCGATGGAGTGATGGCATGTTTTTTCAGCAAACAGGAAGATGCTAACAGTTTCCCTGGGATCAGAAGGAGCAGTGTGTATATGTGGCCCTGGAGAAGTGGAGGGCTGGGAAAGCATAATCTGCCTTAAATGATACAAAAGGAAAGGAGGAATTCCCTTGTGGGGGGTGGTCTGGAAAATATTTTCGGTTTTAACTCATAAATATTAGTCTTTCTAATATGAAAAAATAGTCTAAAGACGAAAGAATAAAACTCTAAACTTTTCACGTTTATGAAAAAGCTGTTTTCTATTCAGAAGATGGCAGTGACTATTTCATTATGCATTCAGGCCAGGGGCAGTAACACTGACTGCATCATGCCTGAGGTAAGTGGGCTTGTTACCTGAGTCTCCCCACTCTCTCTGCTTACTAATTCTAAATCAGGCCTCTTTTAATTTAAATATTTATTCACTTAGTCACTGTGTCTGATGTGTGTGTGGAAGTACTGCTCATGCCATGGCACATCTGTAGAAGTCAGAGGACAACTTTGGGAATCAATTGCCCCCTTTTCCTTTGGGTTCTGAGGTTCGAACTCAGGTTGGCAGGTTTGTGCGGCAAGTACTTTTACCTACTGAGCCATCTCATCAGCCCTCAGCTCTCTTAAATGAAGTTTGGAGTTGTGCTGGATAACAATCTAAAAGGTGAAATATAGCTATTTACTTTGTAGATAAAAAAGCAATTGAGAATAGTCCATATTTTGGCTGTATTTTTAATTTTCTGGAATAGAAATCATGGGAAAGTATAGAAAACTGGTTGGTAAGAAGCAGAAAAACAATTACTGGCAGCTAAGACCTGGCCTGGCGCTGTCTGTTGGGCCTCAGCTGCTCTTGATGAACACAAGCTCCAGGTAACTGTGTCTGATAGGTAGGACAAAATAAAAGCTCTTCCTAATCAAATCTGAGCTCACTTCAGACAAAAATAAGAAGCTCACCCAGTCTGCAGAAGTGACCAGGCATCCTGCCACTGTGGCTAGTCTACTCTGGATAATATATCCAGTCTGCCTGGGCCACAGTAGCAGCCTGAGTATCTGCTTTTCAGAAACTTGGTCATGTCCTCAGGCAGGCTTCATTCTATCTGATTTGGAGATATACTCTTTAAGATTTCCAGTACCCAGCCGCATTTGAAAGGTCTTGTGTGAAACACACTAGACTGGCTTGTTATCTTTCATTTACATCCTTCCAAATTACTGGGCTTTGGTTGTGTCAAATGGACAATTGGAAGCAGGTGCTAATAGTTTCTTTTCCTTGTAGGTTTCTTGTAGGAAGGTCTCACAACAACTTACCATATCCATGATGACTACAGCAGCTGTTGGGTCAGGAAAGCCTTTGGGTGGCTACTTCCTGGAGAAGTGTCTTAGCAATTGTGATTCCAGTTTACTATGTGTTAGCTTGAGCTCGTTCCTACACTTGGGAAATGTACCAGGATAGATAAACCAGGTTTTTTTTTTCTTCACTATCACTGCTTCAGAGTAGATAGTCAATAGGTGTTTATTGAATATGAAAAATTATGTTGAATTTCCTAAGCTTCAAGTATATAAGCAAGCCCTTTTCCATCTTTCATTCTGGTTGTGTCTAGTAGATGCCATTTTGACTAAAGAGAAACAACCTCTCCTTGTGGTACTTCTCTTTCAGGGACTCAGGGTAGTCCCTCTGATTTTTAAAAAAACGCCGTAATCATTTTTTTTCCTACTCTCTGCACATCCTTATGTGCTAAGGTGGGGTGAGAATGGGAGAGAAACAGCCTACCAGCAAACCTGCATGGTGTTACCTTTTAGCCATTCTAGTAAATACCAGAGTGCACGCAGAGCTAGCGAAAGATAACTCTGCATGTGTTTAAAACAGCAAGGACACAGAATACTGTTAACAGTTTTCCTATTTAACATGGGCCATTTTCAGTGGATTTCTTCCCCTTAATTTGAAAGCAAACCACACATTCTTCAAGGACACAAAAGTGTTAGAAAAAGGTGCAATAAATGAAAAAATCAGGGACACTTGGAAGGATATTAAATATATCTTTTTAACATAGTTTTAATATAGATTATTTCTATGAAAACAGAAAAAATATTTAATTCAATGGTAAATACATGTTAACTAGAACCCTATGTTAGATTTTAGTTTATATAGCAAAGTGAATAAAGCAGTTAATAAGACAGAGAGCCAGCAGTACTCCACTTGCTGGAATAAGACCAGAGCATCAAGGAGCGGCAGCACCTCACTGAGCAGACAGGGAAGCTGTGGGTCCTCTTAAACATGAAATAAGCTTCTAGGTATGAATCGGGATTGTTCTATAGGTTGAATTTAGGAGGGAAGAAGATGCCTCTGGTTTACACTATAAAATTTTTTACCTACCTTGTTTTTGTTTATTTCTTAAATTAGACATGAGGGGAAGACCAAAAGAACACCAGGTTATTGGCATTGGCCGGATGACGATGTTCCACCTGGTAAGTGTGGAATCTAACATGTTCATTCCTCAAATGGCAATTAATACCCCTGGTAAACAGTGTAGAAGCCAGCTCTTTGTTTCCATGAATGACTTTAAAACAAGTTTGTTAAACAGTTTAGTGTCGTGACAATACATGTTTAACAGGAATGCAGAGCAGACGATATTAAAATGTGGCATTGTCTCGAAGTACAGTATGACTGTGAGACATCCTACGTTTAGCAGCACCTTTTTTGGTATCAGTTAAGTAAAAGAGCAGTAAAGAAAGAGCAGAGGAAAAACTGAAATGACTGACATAGAAGTATAACACTATTAACTCTATTTCTAGCATTTCCTGGGTTGACTACAGAAAAAAGAAATAAGGATTCTACAACTGAGTAGGTTAAGAGTAAGCCTTTGCTTGTGAAAAAACTGGCATTACATTCCACAAGTCAATAAATACCCCCGTCTTCCTTGGGATTGTTTTCTTATTTCTGGATCTGCTGCATACTGCTGACATAGCCCCACTGTGCACCTTTCTACAGATGTGCCCCTATGTCAGCTCCTTCAGCAATGTAGAAGAATGCTCTGATGTGCAGAAGCATATTCAGAGTACAGTGAGGACCTAAGAATTGAGTACAAAATTTAACAGGTGGACACCATTAGAACTATTTTCTGAAAGGGATGAATGGGGACAGCAAGTGAGAGAAACAGCATCCTTCATGAGTCTGAGTGCCTCAGAGCCATTCCATTGGATGCAGTAACATATAGGAAGGGATTAGATCACTGCTAAACATCTGTGAAATTACTTACATGTTATTTTATGAAAACAATCTTAATTTGGGTCAGATTAATTTATATATAGTCTGTAAATTCTGTAAGCAGTATAGTGCTGATTCTAAGAGGAAAATTTCATTTTATAAGCATCTAAAACACTGGTAAAATATGTATGCAATTCATATTTTAAATGTTTTAGTTTTCTTGGGTATAGGATAAAGTATTAAGCATAAAACTGCTTTAAATACAAAATTGCTTTACTTATAAATGCCTAAGAATACTTGGGAAGAACCTGGAATACCAGGAAACAAATCAAAAAAATATATTTATTATAACCATTATTCGTTTTAGTAATATATGGATCTGGTTGGGTAATCGCAGATAGGCATTTTCCTGGGAAAAGCTTCAAATGCTAGTGGCCCGTGCAGCTAATACAGTCTTACTTATCCATCAGCACTGGACTCCTGAGAGATACAGGTTTTATAGCCTTAGCATAAGAGCACTGTACACTTCTTAAAGCAGGCAAATTGAGGTGTGAAGAAAGTGTCTTCTAGGTTCTCCTTCAGAGTAGATGTCTCATGCAAGAAAATATTCTTAACTTTTTTCACTTCAAGTCATTCCATTTTTGACCTTATAATATCTAAGGACTTAGCAGAAACTTGGGTTATAAGAAGCACTCCTGGGTGCTGATGGACAGTGAAACTGTTGGAGTGGATTCCGGGGGAAGACCAGTAGGGAACTGACGATGCACAACAGGAGCAGTAGGCAAGGGTGGAAAGTGAAGTGGGATAAGTTATAAAAATTTATTTCCCTACGAAATAATTGCACAAGCTGTGTAAACATTTCTTACTAAAACAAAATACTCTGACACACAAGATTGTACATTTCCAGTGGAACACTCACAGTACAAGATGCCCGTGTTTTCTCTTTTCAGGAGTAAAGCAAGGAGGCAGCAGATGAGTGCTCCCCTAGTTACCTTTGGCAGCAAGCTTCTTCACATTCCCTGGCTGCTCCATGGGTTTTTAAAGCAACATAAAACACAAATACTAAGCCAGGTGAGCAGAATTCTCGGCCATCAGCCTCTAGTTTCTGCATTAGTCTTTTGTATTCCACTTCATCTCAGTCACTCACACACTCACACTCATGTGCACACGGCGGCTTCGGCTTGGATACTCCAGTGCAGTGACTATAGCAGACACTAGCTGCTAAGAACGTGTTTGTCACAATCAGTTGTGGGCTGTATGGAGTAGAAAAACCTCTGGAGTTTGGTTATAGTTACCATAATTTATGGTTAAAATTAAAAACTTCAAAGGATGGGATAACATTCAGAAATCAAACCTCAAGTCAAGCAATCACACATATTTACAATATGTACAGGCTCTCTTTTAGAATGGGGAGAGGTGTCTAGACAATTTTATTAGAAATTTCCTGAATGTGGGCATTTCTAGTCCCTGTGATTCATAAAGCAAATCTGCTGACTTGGCATTAAGACCCTAAAATAGTGTGATCAAACTGATATATATATATTATATATATAATTATAATAAGGTGTTTGCAGAAATAACATTTACAAACTGTCTATACAGTACACAGTACTAGTACATAGAAAATAGATTCTACCTTTATAATCCCCTTTGTGTAAGGCAAGACTGAATCTGTCCCCAAATTTAGTCAGCCAGAGGTACAAGCAAGAAACAGTGGTCCATGAAAGAATGACACAGGTCAGGTATCTGGGTATTAAAAATCTGGAGAAATTCCACTGGTTATCTGTGCTGCGTCTGGCTCACTGGATACATTAACTACATTTCAGAAGCCACTCTGTTAAGTGGCAGCTACCCCAAACAGCTTTGGGAGAGTCCAGGATAAAGGTGGAGGACTGCAGCTGGACTAGGCCCATTTATGTGGTACTTACAAAAGAATGTATATTAATACTTGATTGCATGCTATTGCTATTCAAGCAACAGCAATACAAAATATACAAGACAGATCACAGATGGTTGCAATGTACCCCCAAAGATTTTGCTTAAGGATGATGTTACACAAGACTTGGGGGGCAGGAACGCACACGGTCATTGGCGGATGTAGACGTCTCTGTTCCACTCGCCAGCCTCGTTCCTTCTCTTGGATATTACTTCCCCTTCCTTGTCACAGTAGCGATCCTTAGATTTATGCCGGCTTCGCTGTTTGTTGCACTCGTGGTCCTGCTCTCGACCCACGTCCCTAGAGCGGTGGCGAGACTCCCTGTGTCTGTGGCCATTGCTGCTGTGGGTCTCGTCTCTATGGTTATGTTCACGGTGTGGGGCATAGTGGTCCACATGTTCATGTGAATAGTCTTCCTTTGGCTCCACATAGGCAGAGTCTCGGCTCTCCTGGGTTTCAGAGTCAAATGTCTCTTGCCTAGAGAGGCCTCGACCTGTCCCACTGCGGTGGTTTTGGTGTGTGGCTGAGGAGGAAGAACGATGTTGGGATTTCTTGACTGGTTCCAGACAAGGTTCTTCTTCAGCTTGGGAAGCAGACCGGGGAGCAGAGCGATCAGTCCTCTGATCACCTTGAGAACCCTGAAGAAAAGGAACACATGAGGACATCAACTAAGGACAGAACCTAAGGAACTTGAAAGTGTAAGTCCCTCCCTTTGAAATACCTAGAATGCTGAAAGGAAGCCTAGCCTAGCTTAGGCACTTTTTGAAACATCTGGCAGCACTGCTTAAATTGGACTTGTGTTCACGGTAACATTTCATTTTAATCATGGGGAAAGAATGTTCTTTTATAGTCTTTTGTGATTCTAGTACTAATACAGGTGTCTTATACTATTTAACTAATCTGCTTGAGTAGATTAAAACTCATTAAGATGGGACATTTAATGGACAGGTACTACTCTAGAACCCTCCAAAAGGAGACAGTGTCCTTAAGTCAGCTGCTAACTTTTCATTCTCCTGCCTTAGCCTCCAAAAAGGTGAAGATTATAAACAAGTGGTATAACATGGAGCTAAGTACTACTCCTTTAAGTCAGTTATTAAGCCCTTTGAGCTAGCGCACTATTATGGTTTTGGAAGCAGGACCAGCCAGAGAACTTGCTGAGGTTTTAAACACAGAAAAGCAGAGCAAAAAGGGTTTGACTGCAGCCTGTCTACCATCTTAGTTACCATGGTTAGTGGGCTTGAGAGGCTGAGCTGTTGGGAGTGTGTTCAGTTTACAGGTACACAGCTCATACTAGAGAGACTTGGTTAAATGGCACACATGTTTCTTAGTTTGGTTAGCAAAGGATAGTAGAGCAAGCATGGAATTCCCTCTCTGGGATTGAGTCCCAGGGGTGTCAGCTCAGGCAGCCTAGGTTCCCTATGAAAACCATAAAAGGAAGCTCTCTTACCTGTGAATTAGAGGCTAGGGTGGGGCTCATAGGTAAAGTTGAAGTGGGTAAAGTTCGGCTAAGGAGAGGGTTGGGGAGGTTACTGCTGGGTGGGTGGGTGGCCTTCCAGTAGGCCTCCAGATAGTCGGCAAGATGCTCACAAGCATCCTCAAGCTGGTTCTCATCCAAGATCACATCAAATGACTCCTGCTAAAGCAAGCATTTCAGATAGAACATAAATGTAACCCAAGACCAAGCTCCCTCTCCTCCCCAAACCTACAAGTAGAGGAGAGGCCTTGCCCATTGTATTTGTTCTTGCCCTGTTTTCTTCTTTTCTGTTGGCTGAGTCTCTTAGCTTATGCACGTGTGTCGCCTCAAATCCTTAATTAAAACACTGAATGGTGGTTAACTGATTGCCCAAAAGTGGACAATTGTCAGCATGATTGGTAAGGGCAATGTACAGGAGTTATTATCTTTTGTGAAAAAAAAACACAGATACTATGGTTGAAAAATCTAAACAGTTTAGAAGGGTGCTTATTCTTGATACAGATTGCAGGAAGTTCTGGAAGCTAATGAGACAGGATTAGGTCATGCACTTTGGCAGAAGTAGCTCAAACTACTGACATTTTGACATGACCCAAACCTCACAATTCAGTGGACAGGAGAGATCCTTTACTTTTGAAGATTTAAAATTGTTGATCTAGAAATTAACATACTTTAAATCAATCCAATCCAGAATTATAGCTTTTGAAATAGTTGTACTTTAATGAACACTAGCTGGGATCTATAGTCCCAAAGTATATAAAACTAGGAATGTGTTTCTGGGAAACTTCCTGGTTAAGATAACTCCCTGGGTAAAAGTGCTTTCTGTGTGACTCTCCAGAACTCATGCCCAAACTAGATGGATAGCATTGCGCTTCCATAATCCCAGCACTCCTACAGGAGCATAGGGCACAGGCAAGAGAATCTTGGAAATCAGCTAGCCTGGCTTACACACTGGCCAACAAGAAGAGACCTTGGCTCAAACAAGACAGAAGGTGGGGCTGACACCTGCAGTTGTCCTCTGACCTCCATGTAGCCGCGGTAAGCTAGCTCACATCTGCATTCTTATATATGAAAGTCAATGTTTAGTTTGACATGATCCCAAGTCAATTTCTCAGACACCTGTTAAGAGGAGACAGTTTATTCCCTGTGGCTAGATGTGGATAAAAACCAGACTCCAAATAGGTCCATCTTACAAACCACCGTCCTGTTATTAGAAAGTGAGGCCTGCATAGGATGCATGTAGCATTTTTGGAAGGGTGATCATTACCTGGCCTACAGATGCTCAAAATGCATGGTCACATAGGCTGTGACATACTTTACTTTTTTGGAATGAATGCCATTGTATCTTCCCACAGTATGTAATTGCAGTTTTTAAAATGCGGTTCTGATCTCTTCAGCTGTTTGCACTATGTAGATAACTTACCGGAGGACACTGGGCCAATTTATCAGCTGCTACCATCTGGACATTGAGGTGTTTTGCTTGAGATTTCCCTCGAGATTTTATTAACCTTTGTAAAACCTGGAAAAGGTAGGGATTTGTAACAGGAATATCTGTGCTCAGGTAAGCTACGGGGTATACTATGAACTCCTTTATAATATATACATATATATGTATATAATACATTATATACAGTATTATAATACATGGGTGAACAGCATATATCATTGAGAAATAGATTACAACAGAGATTAACCCCCAAATTAACATTCTTGCATAAGTCTCTTGCAAGCATTAAACACTAGTATAAAATTGATGCAGAGTCTTTTTTTTCTAGCCTAACAGTTCTCAAACTTTCTGCCTCATGACCTATTTAAGTTTAAAAAAAATTATGAACCCCAAAGGGCCATTGTTTGTAGGAAATATTTCTAATATTAATCAGAAATCTTAACATGTGCTAGATTTATTTTTGAATGAATTAACAGTGCTAATATAAATTACTTTTTAAGAAACCTTTTATGAGAATAATGCTTCTATATGCAATTTGCTATAGTGTACAGCTTTCTTGATAGCTGTAAAGAGAACATTACAGAGTTAAATAAAGGGGGTTGTGCCTCTTCAGAGAGTTGGTGACATTCTTCAGTGCTATACTGAAGATGAGTAAGTTTATTCCTTCCCATAAAGACCTGTGGCCAGGAAGACTCAGGAGCCACAGGGAACAGCTTCATGTGTTCATGTGTACCAGACAAGCACAGTCCTGTGGTCTGTACTGCAATATGACTGGACCTTTCACTCTGCATGCTGTGTAAGGTCATTCACGGCATTCTGTATCTTCTACACATTTCCATACTTCATCGTTTACTATTAGTATTGTTGGCAACAAATGGTTCTTCTGAAGTGTCAGCAGATCTTTCCTTAAGCAAAATCAGTCAAAGTACGTAAGTCTGAATGAGCACAGTGGCATTGGTGTTTGTCCTTGAGACAGTTCACTCTGGACAGTAGCTGAACATTTTAGTTCATTACACAGGGTGTTAAACAGTTTGTTACTACTGCATCAGGACATTCTTATGTGGAACTGTGAGAACATAACGTGTTTGCTGCTACATGTACTTATGCTTGGACCCCCACAGCTTTAGCACCATGTATGCAGATGCCACGAGTGTGGAAAGGAAGCAACTTCTTCATTTTATCATGGAAGCGGCTTCCACATTACGAGCTCTCTGAAATCATTTCAGTGAGCCATGGCCCACACTTGAGACCACTGCTCCCAGCCATAACACTAACCATGCTCATACTTCTCTTCAAACTTCTTGACTAGTATGGATTTTTTCAAAAACTCTATGTCCGTAATAAAGGTATAGCCGGTGACTACTAGAAACCAGAGCAATAAAACACATTGCAGTAATTTCTGAATATAGAAAAACAGTGGCAACCCCACTTACCTTAGGAGAAGAAATCTTTACATACACTATAATAGGGGCCAAGGAGGTCTTACTGAGTTGAGCTGGGTGATTAATCGTATCTGCATCAAGGACTACCAATTGTAGTGTTCTTGCAAGTTCAAAAATCCTTTCGATTTCACTCTGAACTTCCGCTGTAAAGGTTAAACAGTTAATTTATTTAAAAGGGCACATTTTTAAACTACAGTAAGCTGGAATAAAATGATACACTATTTCTTTATCCAAAGAGTCAGCTGCTATTTTAATGATTATACTCAATATGACTGATGAAAGGTGTCCTTTGGCAAGGGCTATTCCTCATACCTTTAGTACTCCAGGAATTGTTCTTTCAGCCAGCACCAAATATACCACCTTTCCTTGCACATGAGCTTACCTCATGTTGTTGGACCATCCATTATGTAAAGATGTCCAACATAAAGAGAGAGAGATGAAACTTGGCCCAAACCATACTTCATACTTTCCACCAATGAAGACATGGTCTTAAGGGTAATAATCTGTTCAGTCCGTACAATGCTACCTGTAAGTGTGTTTTCAGGGTTGACCGTTTGGTACTGGTCAATGAATTGACATGTTCTGCCCTGGAGAGGACTACCTCTCCCATTCCCAGCTTTCCTCAGTTGCTTATAGTTCTTTGTGTGAACCTTCCTCCATCCAGTTTGTTATGTTCATTGGGTCATCCTTGTTCAGCTCACATTTGGGCAGTCATGTTCCTAAGAATATATATGGATATACATATATGAATGCAATAATGGTTTGTTTAAAAAAAGAGGCCATGAATTTAAAGGAGAGTGGGGGAGGGTATGTAGGAGAGTTTGCAGGGAAGAGAAATGTAATTAAATTAAAATCTCAAGAATTAAAAAAAAAATGTAACTAGAAGCAGCACGTAAAATTATATAAATGGTATCAGGTCTTCCACTCTGCAAAGATTCTACTACAGGACTTCCCAGTTGAACATCTGTGATAATGGGGGATACTTTCCACTCTTTGTGTGGTGGCTGCTAGCCATGGGTGGGTGCTCAGCACTTAAAAATGTAGCTATTCTGAATGAAAAACTGAATTTTTTAAGTAACTTAGTATTGAACTGTAAAGCACATGTGGCTTGTAGTTCTGATTGAGGGTGAAAGGTCAAGTTCACTGGATTCCTTCAGACCAGCCAGCTAGTGCCTGTGAATGACTTCATTTTCTTTGATTCATTTATATTAATAGCAGAGCATTCCCAAAGATGGTTTTAACTCACCTGTTCTTCTAGAAAAGGCAAGTCACTAACTGTCTGCATCAAATTCTTTACTTGGAGCTTTGAGAAACCACAACCTACTCACTTGAGATACTAACTTCAAAATAATGTTTTCTCAGATACCTCTGATACATACAGTCTTCTTACAATAAATACTACATATCACATCTGATCAACCTCTTAAGTTTACTAATTTATAAGAAGCACAGGGAACAGAATTGGATAAATGATAACAGTGTAACACAGTCAGCAAAATTCAGACCATCAGAAACTTTCGGAATAAGTAGCCCAGTTTTTCAAGAAAAAAATAAAGTTTTATGAAAAATGAGAGATTTGAGACTCTGTCCTATTAAAATAGTAGTTTATATATTTGTAATGAATAAACTTGGTAAAAACATGCCTGCGTTTGCTTACCAATAATCTGTGGGTGGGAGGTGAAGAGTCTACGTACTTTAGCTTCGCAGCTACCTGATGAAAGTGTCTCCAGCACTCTATATATACAGGTGTCACTGTCTGGGATGTCATTTCCTCCCCAGGGCCGTCCTTGTATCCAGTGAAGCCCTCCTCAATTTATTTTCTGCTCCCTGGCTCATGAGCCACTGACCAACTATCTGCGATTTTCAGCTCATTTATATATCTTTTGTCTCCTTTGCTATGACCCTGGCACCTAGAATACTGCCTAGCAACCGTTAGTTCCTTAATGCCTTAAGAACAAGCTCCTTAATGTTTTACCTTGCCTCTTAATGATGTGCCTTATACCTCCCTTTTCTTTAAGCTATACACTTTAGCCAAAGTGACATGTTTTCCAGAAGCTTCTTACAACTGCCACTGTCTCAAATCATCACCTTCTCAACCACTTTCCCTTCTACATGCTTTCAAACTTTAAATCTCAGCTCAGGATACTTCCTGTGAAAACCTTCCCCGTGCATGGCCTACAGCTACTGCAGCATTAGCTCTTTGGCACTGGGTTCAGCTCAGGAACACTGTGTTCACTCTGTACCCCAGTGACTCTTATTTGCCTTATTGCTGTTCTGAGCTCCTGCACCCAGCCAGGCTTTAGCACATTATTTAGTACCTAGTACATGCTCAATAAAATACATGGAGTAGAAGAGGCATTTAAAAACTGCACAACCAATAGTTGTAAAGCCTTTTTGTTGGTCACTGTAAATAAACTGCTTGACTTTGTTAATTGGTTAAATCTATGAAATGATAATGTAACAATTTTCTCAAGTATCAGATAAAATAAGAGATTACTATAAGCAAAAGTATCACATTTTCCTTCTTAAAGAACAATTATAAGATGGGGTATCACTGTGTGGCCCAGACTGCTTTTGAACTTTAATCTTTCTGCCTCATCCTCTGAAGTGCTGAGGTTAGAGGTATGTGCCACCATACCTACATCCCTAATATATTTCCAGACCTGTGTCACTAAAGATTCACCACTGAGGGTTTATTAGGAGACAAAACGAAGTTTTATTTTATGTGTTATGTCAACATGCATGCAGGTGCCCACAGAGGCCAGAAGAGGGTATTGGATCCCTTGTAGCTAGAATTACAAGTGACTGTCAGCTTCCTAGTGCATACTAGGAACTGAATTCCAGTTCTCTACAGGAGCAGCAAGTGCCCTCATTCATTGAGCTATCCTTCCAGTGCCCCAAAACAGAGTTTTATAAAGTATTACTAAAAGATAAAATGTTACTATGTTTCTCTATTGATTTAATTATAGTTCAGAGTAACTGAGAAACTTGTATTCTTAAACCCTGCTTCCCAAAGGCTTTACATATCTAACATAAAGAATTAAGTGAACCTAAACATGTCCCACAACTTTTAGAAATGTATAAAACCAAAAGCCTAACAATAGTTAAGCATACCAAACACCAAACACATATTTCAGCAAGCTATAGTAGCTGCTAGAAGTTCTGAATTTTGTCTTACTGTATGTTAATAAACAATTTCCAGTCACCTCTCTATAAATCTGTAAATGCACCAAAGTCCCCATGCTGGTTTTACAAATAAAAATATTGATGCAACTCAGAGGACAGGACAGACAACTGACTTCTGTTTGCTCTGTTATCAGCCTCAGCATGTAAATCATAGTTTTGAATATGATTTCATCACGGATATAACTGTTCAGTGAACATTTCTGAGACAGACCATACTGCTGATGGCAGGTGGAATGTTCTGACTAAAGTTATCTTCATCTACAGTGAAATCATTAGGACTACAGACTGTTTACATCAGTTTTTCTATATGGTACCTGGAGTTATTCTCTATTCATATCTGCTCACTGTTACTATTAGGTAAGGAATATTTAAATAGCTTAAGCTCATTGTTATTGACTGACTTACCTAAGCTTGACCTTGTGTTGGATCTCTCTATTATTGCATGCTTACTGGGATTGTTTAACACTGAGCGTTTGGCGAGGGAGATGTCAGCAGTGACTCTTGTGATGGATATCCTGTTGGAGAAAAGAGAAAACCCTAAGGTTCTTAATCAAATAAAACAGAAGTACAGGTCCAAAATTTAAAGGATGGTTGATATATAAGTATACACATAAGGGGCTAAAGAGATGGTTCAGCAGTTCAGAGCATTTGTTCTTGCGGAGAACTCAGGTTTGGTTCCTCACACTGACATGGTAGTTCATAACCTTCTGTAACTCCAGTTCTAGGAGATTCAATGACCTCCATGGGCACCAGGTACACACATGATGTACATAACATACGTGAAGACAAAACACTCATACACATTCAATAAATATAAACTTGAAATACACATGTGTAAGTATCAACATATATCTATATTCATACACATACATACATGTTTCAAAACAGACTTATTAGAACAAGCAGTCATTTATTATGCACCTGTTTTGCCTAGCATTTACTGGTTGCTTACCAAGTCTGACTAAATTGTCCCTGAAACTTGTAAGAGATCCACATTTGCTGATGGAAGATAAATAGAAAGGAAATTACAAGCAGCCTTATCTAAAACTTCGTGTTACTATAAACAAAAACAAATTACTCTTAAATTGAACTGAGATTTCTAATTCTGTAGTCTTAGTGCCTTTACAGTGCTGTGACATGCATGAAGAAGACAGCCTTCAGAGAACTGAGAATCTAGTGGCAGATAGAGAATGAACATAGACCCTAAATGATGACAGTATGATATGCAGAGCACATACAGTCTATTATGACAGCAGTAATGAATTGAAAGGTTTCACATGGGGTAGAACTAAAGTAGTAGTACATGGGAGCTGAAAAGAGGAAGCAGCTTGTACTTGGGAAAGTTGAATATTCCGGGAATATTCAGATAGGCATTAGGAAAACTGAGAAAAACGAAAGGCTTACAGTATCCATGAAGAAGCCGGTGACAGTGTGGTTTATAGTCTAGCCCAAAGTCGGAGCCCCCAGAGCATCAAGTGGCCTGATAAGAATTATCTATTTATCTATTTGGTGTAAAGCCAGAGACTTACGGGAGTAAATCAGAGGGCCCCAGATTAGGGGGCTGTAGGCAGAAAAAGGAGGGCTGGGAACATTAGATGGCGAGGGGAAAAAAATGATTCTGCATGTTGAGTCCTCCACCTACTTCTCCCTCTTGGTCTTTTGGAAACCCAGCTTATATTTATTCTTTTATATCCTCTAGGTGTCAGAAAGGAGGATGCTCCTCTGGACAAACAGCAGAATGACTAAACTATGTGCACCAGATGTCTCCTCTACAGAATACTCAGCAAGAATGTCCTACAGGGAAACGAGAAGCCGAGAAGCCTCAGCTATGAGCACATACTTCCTGCTTATGCCTGTTTGCCCTTTTCTTAAATATAAGAGCAACACTAGGCATCTCTGTAAATGTCTTACAGGGGAGGCTATAAAAGAAACAACCATTAGTAAATACATCTGAAGGCTAAATTATGTTCATAGAACTGAAACATAATTTATTTATTTATTTATTTATTTTAATTTATTTTGCAATACAATTCAGTTCTACATATCAGCCACGGATTCCCTTGTTCTCCCCCCTCCCGTCCCCCTCACCTTCCCCCCAACCCCCCCCCCCCATTCCCATCTCCTCCATGGCAAAGCCTTCCCCACAGACTGAGGTCAACCTGGTAGACTCAGTCCAGGTAGGTCATAATTTATTTTTAAAAGCTCAGGATAAGATTTTTGGAAATTAAAAAAAATGACAGTAGAAATCAAAAGTGAAAGGATGGAATTAAGGACTTCTCTGAAAGAATTAAAGCAAAGAAACAAAAAATAGGAAAGTAAAGTTTGAAAGTTGAAGAGTTGCCCAGCAGTTCAAACCCCATATAGTTATAAGCTAAAGAGTTAATTCCAGAATAAGAGTCTGTATTTTTATATTGAAAGCATCTAGCACTGATTAAAATCCATACCAGACATAAATCCCATCACACCAGGAACCAAAAAGCTTCCAGAGGAAAACAGAGCAAGAGCAACAATGGGGCTAGACAATAACAACACAACAGCCTTCAGAATCCTCTGACCATGTCCAAGTGCCAAAGGGTACACTTGCCATCCCAGCACTTGAAAGGATGAAGCATGTGGACTTCTAGTACAAGGCCATCCCCAGCTACATAGTGAAACCCTGTCTCAACAACAATAAAACCCGTAACCATCTACACCATCAATTAAGTAGGTTGATTAAAGACCTTTTTAGATATTCCAGAAAATCATTTTAGGGATATGATTGAAGGATGTGTTTGGCAGAAATGGAAGGATGAAGGTTGAGAGATGACAGGAGACTGAGGATAGAGGAGCACCGACCCAACAGCCATTGGAAGAAATCCCCAAGGTACAGTGTATTGGGATGTTAACACAAAACACTCTCATGTATTTGGGGGTGAGATGGTAAGGTGGAGTGGCAGCACTGGGGAAGCTCCAGCTGTACATCCCATAATAGGATTCTTTTTATGCTGAGCACAGAGAACACATAGCTACTCAAGTCATCATTCCTACAGTACATGTTTACAGAATACCTGCTGTATGTTCACTTGGGTCAGGTGTGTTTATCTGGGCAACATAGTAAGATGACCTGACCCCCCAAACCCCCGAATCTCATAAAAAAAAAGTTTTATAGAATTTAAACTTTTATGGAGGAACCAAGATGGCAGAGAAGTAGGCAGACACCTGATGTCGGTGTGACAGGTCCCATTTAAAAATTAAGGCAGGTTAGTGAGGATGGAGATGGAACAGTGTGGAGGGTATCACTTCAGTGTTCAGAAATTTTGAACAGTCCATTAATGCGGCATGTAGATTTGGAAGGAAGGAGTCATGTGGATACTGAGGGAAGAGGATTCCAGGCAGAAGGAAGAGCGAGTACCTAAGAAGCATTGGTACCACGTGATGCTGATGACCCAAGGGTTAGTTGTGAGCCTCTAGCAAGCTCCTGCTACTCACTGGGAGGCAGCTGCCCTGTGATGGGGACCATCAGGGGGATACAGTGGTGACACATGTACTACCTATGTGGTAGGCTTTCTAGGCTGCATAATCATCATTGCTTTGGATCTGCCCCCAAGTAGTTGAAAATCTAAGGGCAAAATTTCTGGAGATAATTAGGTTTAGACTAGTGGTCCTCAACCCTCGCAGAGTATCTAAATCATCATACAAGCACGTAATGATAGATTCCCTCCCATATCTTAGCCTCCGAATTTGGTCCAAGTCAAAATAGGATGTAAACTCTTAGGAAGGTTGCTGCTCTAAGGACAGAGGGAGAGAGTACTGGGAGAGAGATCTGGAATTGTGGTGTGTGTGTGTGTGTGTGTGTAGGAGGGGCTGGAGATGAAGAAAACTAGTGCAGTGGAAACTCCATGGAGTCTATGAGAGTGACCCTAGCGAAGTCTCCTAGTTATGGCTATCTTCTATAATCAGGCAAGGCTTCTAGCAGTGGGACTGGAATGTCAATCCACCCACAAAACCTTCTACCTACAATCTGCCCTGCCTGCAAGATGTCCTGGGGTAATGGTGGTGTAAAACTTGTGGGAGGGGCCAACCAAGGACTGGTCCAACTTGAGGCCCACACCCCAAGAGAGAACCCATGCCTGACACTGCCTGGATGGCCAGGAACCAGAGGCAGGACATCCCGGAGACCCAGGGTAGAACCAACATGAATGGCAAAAAAAAAAAGATCAATGAAATGATTCTTAATGATATTCTGCTATACTCATAGATTGGTGCCTAGCCTAATTGTCATCAGAGGGGTTATCATCCCGCAACAGATGGGAGCAGATGCAGAGACCCACAGCCAAACACTAGGTGGCGCCAGAGGAACCCTGTACAATGGGGAGGGAGGATTGTAGGAGCCAGATCAAGGACACCATGATAAATATGGCCCACAGAAACAACTAAGCAGGCCTCACAGGGGCTCACAGAGACCGAAATGACAAACACAGACCCTGTATGGGTCTGATCTTGGTGCTCTGAATAAACCTTATGGTTGTATAGCTTGGTGTTCCTGTGGGATCTCCAACAGTGGGAGTAAGGGGTGTCTCTGACTTTTTTGCCTGTGCTTGGGACTCTTTTCTTCCCACTGGGTTGCCTCATACAGTCTTGATATGAGAGTTCGCACCTAGTCTTACTGTAACTTAGGCCATGTTCAGTAGATATCCCTGGGAGGCCTGCTCTTTTTTTTTTTTTAAGATAAATGGAGAAGTGGATCAGAGGAGGTATGGGGAGGAACTGGTAGTAGTGGATGGAGGGGAAACTGCAGACAGGATGTAATGTATGAGAGAAGAACAAAATAAGAAAGGATATACTCTGTCATGTAATTCTTCCTGCTGCAGCTTCCTAAATACTGGAACTACAGGTATATGTCACTAAGCCTGGTCTGTCCTCAACCCCCATCAAGTGTACTTCAGGTAATTCTGTTCTGCAGATCAGATATAAAACTATTAATTTTGAAGACATTGTCTCACGTCTAAATAAATTTCCTACACCAGAATATAAAGTGATGTAATGTTTCCCAGGATTATTGATTTCCAATAAGACTCCTTCACAGAACATTCTGACAACAGTGTCTAATATCCCTGTAGCAATTCAGTACACATTCCACACATTTCAGGGCTGACAACTGACATTTGAGAGTCACCAGGGAAGAAAGCCAACTTCACCCCAGATGGTAGCTTGCCTTCTTCACCACTTCCTTGTTAATGCACCTGTTATTGTCCTGAAAATTACAATGATTGCTTTGCTTACATGGCAAAAACAGGTTATGGCAGGTCCAGCTGCTCTACATGCTGCTGGAAGAAGAGGATTTACCAGCTCCTCTTTAATGTGACACATGCTGTTTCACAGCCCACAGTGATTTTGACTGGTCTCCAGAGCTCCCACAAATGATCTTAACTGTGAGGGCTTAATACTACAGTTCTTGATAGCCTAGAACCTTGGCATTGCCAACATTTCCCTTGTACTCCTCCCTTGTGGCCTTAACATTTTAAAAATATAACTCATTCAGTGAATTCTAAAGAGTACTTAAGTTCTCTTTTAGACTGCCCTGTGCACACACCTATTAGGCTTCTGACAAGTTCCCACTCTGTCTTGCTTTGCCAACATTAAAGACATTTAGTGAGACATTTACTCTGGATATGCTCCCACAAGTAAAGGTGAAATTTTTACATCCTTTGAAATTCTACTTTACTTGGGAGCCCTTAATGCATGGTCACAGGACCAGACTGTTGAAGTGTGGTTCAGGATGGGCAAGGCAAGACCATCAGTAATGCACATGAAAATACTTTTTGCAACAGGCTGCAGCAGACATATGAAGCAGAAATTCAGCTGATTATGACAAAGCTATACCTGGAAGAAGCTACAGGCCTTCCAGAGGATTAAGCCAAATCTCAGGGAGTATTTGGTGTTACTCGGTTTTTAATATATCAGCTGTTTCCTGTGTTTCATGTGTGCTCATAACTTCCCCCAAGAACTTTTAACAGTGTATTTTATCTGAAATACTTCTCAAGCATCCTAGGCCAAAAAGGCAAACAGACCAACCTCTGTCTCCTGAATTAAGGTAAACACCCTTATGAAGACACCCCCTAGCATAGTTTTGTTTCTTGTGAAAATGAAGATCAGACCCTCCTTCTTCTGAGCCCAAATGGCATTCCAGAGCAATTGACTCAGAACAAAAGGGTTTTTTGCATACCAGGCACAATGAGACTTTGAGGTAGGTTTCCTAGCACGGAGCAGAGTTGCCTGACCAGAAAAGCCATAGGGCAGAGTTTTTGCAGATGGTAGGTGGATTGTATTTGGCACCAGAGTAGGAGAGGAAGGAAAGAAGATGGACGGAGGAACAGACAGAGACAAAGATTAGGTGGAGATGTAAAGAGCCTAGTTAGAACTAGGACTGTGAGAGGGCAGGAGGTGAAGGGATAGAGAGGAGTTAAGCATGAGAACAGAATTGAAGCTATGTAGATAGAATTTTATCTCAGAGGAATAAAGTGGATGGACGAAAGAGCTCCGTGTACTTAAATTCATTCCCTCAGATTACCCCTGCTGCTGTTCATAGCATCTTCCCCAGGACTCTGGGAGAAATCTCCTCAGGGCAGGCCCCCAGAAGAAATTTCAATACCTTTTGTCTAGAAACAATAGATTGACCCTACAATCTGTTATTTCATTTATTTTCTTCCCAGATAAAATCAATTTGGCTATGTGATTCCATAGAAAATAAGTCTGAGATCCAGATTCATAAACATTCAGGGTTGAACAGAAGTAGTAAGTTGGTGAATCCTATTGTCTATTTTTTGCAGTTAGAAAATGGCAATGAGGGTTGGGGTTCTAGCCCAGTAGTAGAGCGCCTGCCTAGCAAGCACAAGGCCCTGGGTTTGGTCCTCATCTCCGGGGGGGGGGGAATGGCAGTGAACATTTCATTCATAGACATCATAGAGCCCACTTTAGCAGAATTT